CCACTATATATATATATATATATATATATATATATATATATATATATATAAACACATATCTTCAAAGTAGAGTATTTCTCAAAATGTTTCTTCTTGATGCAACTCTTGAAACGTCTCCAAGCATCATTGATGCAAGAAAAGATAGCTTTTTGTCCTTTAATAGGGATATTGTATTTTTCCTTCAAAAAAAGTATAATGTCAACAAGTGGTAATTGTTAAACATTCAATAAAATATATATGAAATTATTTTTTCCATACATTCACATAATCTCATATATTGTTGTGATTTCTCATCAAAACTTTGATGTTTGTTTAGATCAAGGGACAAAAGTTGGTATTGCGGCCTGCTATAGTGCCAAAGGAAATAACTCAGGTTAGATACAATTTTATTGTTGGGTAGAATATATTGGCTCTCCATCATTGTCTAAGACAACTTCTTCACAATCTTGATCGGGCCTTGAATGTATTCTTAAGCATTATGTTGGGCCACGTGTCCTTTTCTTACTTGTCCCTATTTTGACATAGATGATACATAAGATAAAGAATAAAATGATACTAGCTTAAATCTTATTTATAAAAATTAACAATAAATTACATTACCAATTATGTCGTTATCTTCTTGTTGATTTGCATCTCCTTCTTGTTCAATGACATTTAGTTCTTCATCCACTACTAGAATTTCTCTTATTACATGCCACTTTTCCTGCGAATTTTTCATAAAAATTTGCAAGAAACGTTGTTCCTACAAATTTTTCTGTGAAATTTTATTTGCAGGTAATACCTTCATGGATAATATATTTTTGCGAATTTTAAAATTTGCAGGAAATTTTCCTGCGAAATTTCTTGCGAAAAAAATTCGCAGAAAAGTTTCCTGCAAAAAACAATTTGCAGGAAATTTTCCTGCAAAAAAAATCCATAAGAAAATTCCCAGGAAAGTTTCTTGCAAAAAAAAATTTGCAGGAAATTTTCCTGCAAAAAAAATTCGCAGGAAACTTTCCTGCGAATTTTTGCAAGAAATTCTGCAGGAATATTTTTTACGAAAAAATTAAAAAAAAATTACTATAAATTATATATTTTAAGAATTCATAATCTTTTATTTTCATGCCTCATACATAATCTTTTAAATTCTAAGATTGTAGATTATAAGTCTAACACACAACCATACAATTCAACTTGTAAGGTAAGTATTACCCCAACTTATATACTCTTTAATTGTTTTATTTTCAATCGATGTGAGACTTGAAGATTTTTTAAAATATTAGACTTATGAATTTAAATATATATTTTTTATTTTTCCTGCGAATTAAAATTTGCAGGAAAATCCGCAAGAAAAGTTACCTGCAAAATTTTTCTACCATTTAGTAAACATTACTTGCGAAATTATTTTTGCAAGAAACAAAATAAAATTCTTACAATATTTTCTGCAAGTTTTTACCATGGAAATTTTTTTTCCATGATTATTAAAATTGTAGCAAAATTTGTAAGAAATATCTATAAATTATTTTTTGCAAGAAAATTGGCAAAAAAATTTGCGAATATTTTTTTGCAGGAAAATTCGCAAAAAATTTCTGTGAATATTTTTTTGCAGGAAATTTCACAAAAACTTTCTACGAATATTTTTTTATAAGAAAATTTGCAGAAAAATGACACTTTTCTAGTAGTGATCAGTTTAGTGTGCATTCTCTTCCTGTTCCATACCAATTTCATCTCCTAGATATTCTTCATCATCAACATCTTCATGGATTTCAATAAACTCGTCAATTAACATTGGTGGGCACATTGCAATTGTTTTGGCTATCTTCCTAGCACTAGAATCTTCATTTTTAGCCATTACGAGTTGACGATTTTCCCTTTTCATAGGTATATTATTGAGTCTCAACATTATCTAGATCAGTCATTGCCTTTTTCATAGGTTGCCTTTTGTTTCTTGAATTTGTTTAGATCCACGACCTTTTACTGCAAACTCACATAACTTGAATTGAGCTTGTGGTGAAACCATTAATGTATGCTTATGTTGCCATTTACTGGGCCATCTTACTTCTTTTAGTTGCGCATCAGTTTCATCAAGATTTCTTATCATCTTTTCTTGCTTGATTTTGATGAACTTTCTATATAACTCAAAACTTGATCTTACTTGAGACTGTTTGCAATCAAATGAACTTTTAGCATTGCCTTGAGTTGAAATCTTTTAAAAATTTATGACAATAAGAAAATAAATTAAAGTAATATTGAGTCTCAAAATTTATGACAACTTTGAGTCTCAACTCATAACTTTGAATCCTCCAATCTAACAATACTACTTAGCTACAAGGAAGGATTTAGGATGCATATATTGAGTCAGAAAAAGAAACAGTTCTTTCCAACTTTAAAGCCTAGCTCTCTAACTACTCTCTAGTTTTCTTAGGATTTTATGAAGTTTAAATCTTAAGAAAACCTTAAATACCTTCCCCTAAACTTGGTCAACTTGATAAACTTGACCTCAACTAAAAACAACTCTAGAACAACCTAACTCTCAAGGGACCCTTGACCCTTGAAGTCCTAAAATAACAATTAATTACAACATAAAAACATTTAAACAACACATAGCATATAATTGAACAATAAAGCATTAAAGCAAATATTGTTACCTGTTACTTCATAACTCATATTTTTATATTATAAATAGATGAGTGTGATGAGAAGTAAACATGGTCAACCATGAAACTTTGACTGTCTCTTGATAAATCTTCATCCTAGTGACAATGGATTTTGTTTCTTACCCATTGTGTGGTAATCGAGGTCAATCTTGACATTTTATGGGATCTAGGAAAAGTGATAAATATGGACCTTTATATATTTTATTTATTGGAGAATTTGATTGGTTATCATGATATCTTACTCAAGAGAATCAAGTCCAATAACACTCAAACTAATAACTTAATAGTATGTGTATGACACCCTTACCACCCCCAACACATATATTGTAATAATATAAATAAACTAAGGAAATAAAATTTACAACATCGGTAAAAGGGTTCACATAAAAACCTTTAGAAACATTCTTCAATATCCAAAATATTTCAAAAATGAAACTTGGAAAATAAAATATAAGAGGTTACAAAATGTTTTCAAAATAATAAGTACAACTCTATATACAAATAAAATATATGTCCTAAAATCCTCTGCCCCGATGTCACAATACTAGAACACACCCACAATTCAATTGTTGGCATTCTAGATGTCACTCAAAGTCGGATCTTCCTCAACTAAAACATCCACAATTTATACGATGAGAAAAGAAAATATCTATATGTAAAGCACATACAAACACACCACAATGTAATCTCATCATAACTCATTACATAATGAAATATTTACAATCATTTATAATTCTATCAATCATGCCTCATATTCACATCACAATTTACAATCATACCAATCCATTACAAATCTTGCAATTAACACTATCATTTTCACATTCATAATCCACACAAATCTTACAATTAACACTTTGCCAAGGCCACGCCACAACTGACATAATTGATACGGGTTAATTGCCTCACTCATCCCACACCATGCCAGGGGCACGCCATCCCTGTAACATCACTTACCTAAGGGTCGTCTCATCCCTGGTCATTAGTGTGAGGAACCGCAATCACATTTATAATCCACACAAATCTTACAATTAACCCTATGCCAAGGCCACGCCGCATCTGACATAAGTGATATGTGTTAATTGCCTCACTCATCCCACACTATGCTAAGGGCACGCCATCCCTGTAGCATCACTTACCCAAGGGTCGACTCATCCCTGGTCATTAGTGTGAGGAACCACAATTACATTCATAATCCACACAAATCTTACAATTAACCCTATGCCAAGGCCACGCCACATTTTACATAAGTGATACGTGTTAATTGCCTCACTCATCCCACATTATGCTAGGGGCACGCCATCCCTGTAGCATCACTTACCCAAGGGTCGTCTCATCCCTGGTCATATGTGTGAGGAACCACAATCATATCACATCAACATCTCATTTCATGTCAACATATTCACATCATGTTATCAATTCAATATTAAATCAGTAGATATAATGTATACATTTGTACAAAGGCAGCACACCACATTCCATATCTAGATCATCAATTTTACCAAATAATGTAACAATAATATTAATAAATTAATATAAAACCAGATTAAATAACCAAGTTAATAGAATCTTAACCCAAACAGTAAAACCCCCAATTTTTCCGAAACCTAACTCACAAGCACTTTTCTACAATTTCGTTCTCTCTCCCAGATCATTATTCTGACATATTAAATATATATTTCTAATCCTCAATACATGTAAAATCTAATGGAATCACCAATTCCTCAAATAGAAATAATTATAAAATTACCCATAATCCTAAGCGACTCTTCCTCTACCCAATTCCCTCATGTAACTCTACATCCTCATGTAACTCTACATACAAATAATCCCCTTTTCCCCCCGTACCTTGATAAGTAGTAGCTAAAATTAGAGCAGGATCTAGTTGGTCTCTTCCTCTAGGTTCCCCTCGGTCTTTAGAGAATGTAGAAGGAAAAGAAGTCAGAATTGAAAAGAAGCCAGAACTGAAAAGTGAGCTTTTTGGGAGTACCAGAGCGCTCTATTTATAGGCATCAAGAGTGGCCAAAATAGTCCATTTCAAATCCAAAACGATTCGTTCTAGACTCTTCGCCGTGTAAAATTTCACATCCAGAATGATCCGTTCTAAAACCAGAACGGCCCGTTCTAGGGTAGCAATTTAACCCACAACGGCCATTTCTGAAACGGCCCGTTCCCAACTAGGGTTATAGGCCATTTTGGTAAATTAGAACGCCCCATTTCAATTTGGGAACGCCCCGTTCCCAGCAAAGATTTGTAGGCAATTTTAGTAGTTTGGAACGGCCCGTTCCAGTTTGGGAACAGCCCATTCTAGGCTACTAAATCACCTTTATTGGGTTTTGGACCTTCGTACAATCTGTGAAAATCGGGTTGTTACAACGAGTCATTATATATAAATATTTTAAAACATAAACATTTATAACATAAAGTTAGATGCATGATTCATTTAAAAATGACATGATTAATTATATTAAACAAATAACATTATGTTATATAATCAATCTCAAAAAGATGTAATATATTTTTTCTTCAATTTACTTTTATACGATAGTTTATTTTAAGGTGTTATATAGGTAACTTTGAGGACCAAAAGGCATACATCTCCAAATTAGACGAATCAAAATAAGACAAAATTTTTAAAGGACTAAACCCAAACATTAAAATTTCTATAGAGACCAAAAAACATATTTTACTCTTTAATGAATATAATACAGAGAAAAACTAATAGTAAAAAATATTTTATAATTGTATCACAATTTGTTATTTAGAAATAAAAAATAGGTATATAAGTAATAAGTTTATGACTAAAATATATTTTTAGTTTATTTAAAGTGAATAAATTTTGATTTTCGTGTATATATATATTTTATAAAAAAAAAAAAAAAAAATATATATATATATATATATATATATATATATATATATATCTTTGTGTGTGTGTGTGTGTGTGTGCGTGTGTGTGTGTGTGTCTGTGTCTGTGTCTGTGTCTGTGTGTGTCTGTGTGTCTGTGTGTGTGTGTGTGTGTCTGTGTCTGTGTCTGTGTCTGTGTCTGTGTGTGTGTGTCTGTGTGTGTGTCTATGTGTGTCTATGTGTGTCTGTCTGTGTGTGTCTGTGTGTGTCTGTGTGTGTGTCTGTGTGTGTCTGTCTGTGTGTGTCTGTGTGTCTGTGTGTGTCTGTGTGTGTTTGTGTGTGTGTCTGTGTGTGTGTGTCTGTGTGTGTGTGTTTGTGTGTGCGTCCGTGCGTGTGTGCGTGCGTGCGTGCGTGCGTACGTGCGTGTGTGTGCGTGTGTGTGTGTGTGTGGGTGTGTGTGGGTGTGTGTGTGCGGTGTGTGTGTGTGTGCGCAACTTCTACCTTAGTTTTCTTTTTAAGATTTATTATATTTAATTGTCATATATTCATTATTATTTTTAATTTTAAAATTTCAAAGTAAAAGGGTGTCACCCTCCCCTCTTGTGTTAAAATACACATTTTTCTTTCTTAACAAGTGCAAATATATAATATATAATTACAGTTTATATATTATTGCTATTGTTACTATTATTATACACAATTTATCTCTTAATTTTTACTTTTAATTATTATTCTAAATTATTATTATAAATTCTTCTAAATTTATTTATATGTTTAAAAATCTATATTTTAAATATTATTTTAAAAATATATATGTAAGTAAAATAAAATCAAACACAAAAATTCAGTATTTATCAATGTCATTAATATATTATTATTTATAAATATTTAAATTAAGGGTTTTTCTTATATAGGATTATTTTCATTTTGTATTTATTAAATATAAAACATAAGTATTAAGATAGTATTTAATTTGTAACACCCCAATTTTCATAAATTATATTAAAGTATTTTAGAAATTATTTTGATATTTTGTATAAATATTATAGACACCTAATTTTGTCCGGGGCATACAAACAAAGAAATTGACTTTTATTATCAAAGAAAGGAGCTCCCAAAGCCTGGGAAAACAACATGATATGACATCAGCAGGCTCAAAGCCCAATAAAGGTGATTTAGTAGCCCAAAACAGGCAGTTTCAAATTACTAAAAAGGCCTATAAACCCTATATTGGAACTGGCCGTTCCAACACAAGCTGTTATGAGTAAAACTCAAATCCAAAATGGGTCGTTCCACTTTGGGAATGAGACGTTCCAGATTCACATTTTACTCATAATGGAATTGCCCAGAATGAGCCGTTTCGAATCCAA